AAACAAAGTAGATATTAGATGTATTAGAGTTTACATGTACTGGTACTTATTAGCATATTCATTTAATCTACATGCAATGTAGGCAAAAACAAGCAATTAATAATTAAGAACCAATATTAGCAAAGCAATACTACAATATGGACTTTTAATAGTGCCCCTAAAGCAAATGGGGTTTGAATGCAATAATAAAGCAATAAATAAATCCATTAATTAAATTAAATTAAAATACATTACAAAATAAATAAAATAAACTGGTAGTTCAAATGTCTAAATTTGCTCAGTCCAATTTTATTAACAAAGGGTGCCTTTTAATGATGATTATGAATTATTCAGGTGCTTACAGAAGGCCCTCCTTCAAATAAATAAATACATACATTATAAAATGAAAAATAAATATTTGTATTATTATTTTCTGTGTCCAATTGCTTCACCACAGCTTAACTGTGAGTTATTTAGATGTGTGTGGATTGACAGCTTTGATCTGAACACAATAAGAGTTAAACCTGTATCAATTTGGCCCTGAGCTGTTGGGGCCCTGGGGCCCCTATATGTTTTAGTTTTTTTCAGAGAATCTTTTCACAGTTCTGAAAGTCTAAAAGGAAAAAAAATATTTAGCTGGTTTGTGCCTGATATGCTGAAAAAACACAGGCCCCAGCAGGACAATAGCAGGAAATGGTTTTGTGCGTCGAGGGGCAGTGAGTGGCAGGCAGAGCAAGAGAGATGTAGGAAGCCAGCCGTACATCAAACCCCCCTCACAACACCCCTGGCATCCCCCGCCGAACATTTCAGCAACTGCTTCAGAAGTACACACACTACAAACTGATCCATAAACTAATCTGATTTTAAGACTTCCATTTCTGCCTCAAAGCTTTTGGCTCTAAAGAACAAATATTTGAAATGTTGTGGTTGGGTTGGCTTCAGTGTTTAGACATTTCTGTTTGAACATCCTCTTAGCAGTACCGCACGACCCGAGTTGAAAATGACAAATTTATAGCAATCTGTCAGTAACAAAGGGCATAATTCATGAAATAGGAGTAGAACAAATTGCTGTGTGAATTATACATTAAACAAATCACTTCAAAGGGTAATTACATATGTATTTACAAATGTATAAATATGTTCCTGTGTATATATGGCTGTTCAGAATTAAATACAAGCTTACTGAATAATATGCACTATACACTGCATACTAGTATTTCTTACTGCATAGTAGTATTTCTAACAAACATAAAGCATCGACTAACATTTCAAACATTCATATGCTACATTAACGTCAAACAGGTGACCTTGCGGTTGGGTTTAATTCAGTGAGTGGCCTCCAGTTTTAATGAAACTGTTTCAAAATTCCATTTGTAATCCATTTGTCTTAATTCTTGGCAGTCCAATCAAATAAGAGTACACAAAAAAAGTGGTAAAAATCATGGCTGATATTATGGTTCATTCATCATATTTGGAAATGGAAGGTCGGGCCAAGCACTCTGCATTATGGGATCCTTTTGCTCACATGCTCTTTTGTATACAACACCTTTTGTCAAATGTACACTCTAAAAAATGCTGGGTTGTTACAACCCAACCTTGGGTCAAATATGGACTAACCCAACTTTTGGGTTAAAACTTTAATTTAAAAATGTAACCCAACAGCTGGGTTAGTCCATAAGTGACCCAACGTTGGGTTGAAACAACAACCCAGCATTTTTTATAGTGTAGTAGTTCATCTGACTATGTGATGCCAGAAAGTGCACATACACTACAAAAATATTAGTAGTATGATAGTATGCTATTCCAAAAAGCTGAAATTTGGTAAATAAATCAGATAACTGGTTCAAAATTTAAACTGGTTCCAAATGAGGCCTATTTTGTACTTTTCACTTGTAAATGTATGAATATTTACCCTGTTTTCTTTGTATATTTCATTTATGATTGGCTTATACAGGGCTAATACTGCTCTGGAAGCTGCTAACGTACTTAACCGAGGGTTAAAAGTGACCTTAACCCAGCACAGTATGAAAAGCCTTGAGGAGAATGTGACGCTCTGAACTCTGTGTTCCAGCTACTCCTACAACCACAAGAATTCGTCAGCAGTTTGCTGGGCGATTAGCTTTTTTTCCCCCCTGCACGCTCCCCATTGTTAAGAGTACATCTTTTTGTCAGTGAAACAGGAAAGAGATTGTCAGCAAAATCACAGCTCCTGGAAAGGACTAGGTGGATCCTGTCCTTGACCTCTCTTCATGAAAACTTTAATTTAAAAATGTAACCCAACAGCTGGGTTAGTCCATAAGTGACCCAACGTTGGGTTGAAACAACAACCCAGCATTTTTTATAGTGTAGTAGTTCATCTGACTATGTGATGCCAGAAAGTGCACATACACTACAAAAATATTAGTAGTATGATAGTATGCTATTCCAAAAAGCTGAAATTTGGTAAATAAATCAGATAACTGGTTCAAAATTTAAACTGGTTCCAAATGAGGCCTATTTTGTACTTTTCACTTGTAAATGTATGAATATTTACCCTGTTTTCTTTGTATATTTCATTTATGATTGGCTTATACAGGGCTAATACTGCTCTGGAAGCTGCTAACGTACTTAACCGAGGGTTAAAAGTGACCTTAACCCAGCACAGTATGAAAAGCCTTGAGGAGAATGTGACGCTCTGAACTCTGTGTTCCAGCTACTCCTACAACCACAAGAATTCGTCAGCAGTTTGCTGGGCGATTAGCTTTTTTTCCCCCCTGCACGCTCCCCATTGTTAAGAGTACATCTTTTTGTCAGTGAAACAGGAAAGAGATTGTCAGCAAAATCACAGCTCCTGGAAAGGACTAGGTGGATCCTGTCCTTGACCTCTCTTCATGTGAGGAGGCCCCAGCTAAACTACAGCGACCTCAATTCTTTCAAAGTTTATCAGTTACAATAAAAATAGTAGCTTATCATGAGCTATATAAATAAATAACCATTTAATTTTAAATGATTAACACATAAAAAAAAGATATTTTATTGTAAACATTTTATATTAAAATATTAATAACAAAGGATACAAAAATATTAATAATATAATAATAAATTATTTTACAGTTTATAATGTACACATCATATTAACGAAAAAACAAACAAAATAGATATACTTTTATTTGTGTGATTTTATCGTTTTTTATGACTTAGGGTTAATTCCGAACTATTATTCAGAAATGTGGACAAACAATGTAAGTCCAAAATGTTGACTGAAACTGTATACAAATTTCATGTACATGTAAATGTTGACTCAATTTCTGTTTCACCCAAATTATAAGATTTTTTTTTTTATTGTACTTAGGAATGCACATTACATGCATTATGTGAACACAATGTAACAACGTGTCTTAATGTAACAACATGTTAAGGTGTTAAAACAGCTCTAAAAAATACCATTTAAAGTACAACTATTATGGACATACTGCAATTGTGCCAATTGTAATTGTACAAAGCTAAAATTAATAAATAACAGAAACCATGTTTTTGGAAATCGCTGAAAAATATATTTGGTCCAAACACTGATTTGCAAAATAAATAAAATGCAACAATAAGGCATTTCATACTAAATCAGCTCAGTGTTGCTAAAGTATTTCTACTACAAACTACAAAACTTCCTCTTTTCTGCATTAAGGCTAACTGCATAAAATAGCTCAAATAAGAGAAAAGAAGAGTGTGTGCTCCATCCATCCATATAAACAGTCAGCATTCAATTCATAATATTACTTTAATCTAGACCCTTAATGTACACATAAGGTCACCGGCTGGTCAGTTTGTGTTTTTTTTTTTACAAGTATCTTATCCTCCTCACAACATTCTAGTGCTGCATATATTAAATGAAGCTAGCATGCACTTAAAGCATCGCACAACTTGAGTTTCTGTTATTCCTCCACAAGCGGTTAAGGTGACGGTTTCTCTCTCAGCCAAGCCAAAGTCCAAAGAAAGAGAGAGAACACGCCAAGAACAAATTATGTCACTGCTACAGGTTTGGAGTTCTATCTCCTTAACAGATTAAGCGATGTTCACATGTTTGTAGGTTGTCACAAATTGATTCATGTGAATCTAGTGTTATTCATTTGTGAATACACCCTTAATGAATGTAGCTGTAGTGTGGATGAGACATGTCAACATGTCGTGCTTAAATATCATGTTATGAAAATTCATGAAAATATGAAGCACAAGATGAAAAAATATGGAGATGCAAAAAAAATAAAAATCAACATGTGTGATGGTAGTAGACAGAAATTTTAAAAAACATGTTAAGTGAACCTGACAAAACCTGTGAAGAACATGAAGAATGGTGCATATGTCACCGTAGAATTAAAAAATAAAATATAGTTTGCTTTAAAAAAAAAAAAAAGCCTATTAAACACCATTAAGAATTTTTTTATTCAAAGTTTATTTTTATAATAAAACACATTTCCCCTCCAAATTCTCATAATTCAAAACAAATATATATGCACATACAAAATAGTACATACACACACACAAATGGAATATAAACAACTGTATCTAATCTAACATAAGAAATACTTCCATTTGTTAACCTAATAATAATTTGATTAAAAATGACTGTATTGAGTAATATTATTGTGTCTGTGCGTGTTTGTGCATACTGTATATACCTAATATATGAAATCTAAAAAATCTAAAATGAGAAATACTTAAATTTCATACTCAATAATAAAGTACTTTTAAAATACAATTATTATTAATACATTTATTTTCTTCGTGTGTGTGTGTGTATATCGACACACATTGCATTTTATTTTTAAAAAGTACTGTATTATTGCAATGACAATCACATATATATATATATATATATATATATATATGGACAAAAAAAAGAATTTTATTAAAACAATTACTGTATTATTGCAATGAGAATCACAAAAAAAAAAAAAAACATCTGGACATATTACAGTAATGGGGCAAATGTGTTTTATTGTCATAAAAATAATGTCACAATGAAAAAGAACTTAATGGTCCTAAAAACAGACCTAATTTCTTTATGCAAAATATAATTTATGATTTTTTTTCTTTTGATTTTGGGGTGAAAAGTGACCTTGAAGTGTTGCCGAAGACACCCAAAAGCGGTTACGCAAAAATGTTGGAGATGAATTCACGGAATCGTTTGGCATACTGCTCTGGATGAACCGTAGATATTTCAGCACCAGCCTGAAAGGAAGGAACAGGATGAGTCATGTTATTATAACCTCCCAGAACTCAGAATTTAGCAAATTATACTGGACGAGTGCGCTTTTCCACTCACGCCATGTTTAACGGTCTTCGCAGCGTGGGCAGCTTTCTTCTTAGTGTCGTACTGCGTCAACACATCAATGAGGCCCATGAAATACACCTCCCTCTGCAGCGCTCCTGGAATCCAACACAAACACACATATCACTCCTTTCCCGCTTCCCTCTTCCATACATGCTAGATACGTGTGATTTCCCTTCCATATACTCGACTTCCTCTCCGGTTTCCCGGCCAGAACTGACCTGGGGCACTTTTGACAGCGTATACATCAACGTAAGGGTCAAATTCTCCAGGTCCCAAGGGTTTGAAGGAGTTCATGTAACCGGCGATGCCCTCCGGCGACGTGCCATACGAGCCCACCTGCACGGCCGGAGCAAGGCCATTCTCGGGATCAGTGTCATCTTCACAGCTGGGCTCCTCGGCCTCCTCTTCCTCCCGCTCGCCACGTGCCACGTCATGGAGGCCTAACAACAGGCTGTAGTCCATTATCTTCAGCTTCACCAGGAACTATAATCACAGGAACACGAAGAGCGGGGATTTTAGAGCCTTTTAAACGTCATCGTGACATTTTTAAAAGTACAAGTCTTCACCTCTACATCTCGGTTTAGCTTCTCCATAATCTTCTCTTTCTGCTCTTCTGTCACGTACACCTTCTGCATGTTATTTCTGAAATCCATGTCTTTAAAAGTCGGCAGCTCTTTCACCTGCATTAGAAGAAGCAGGAATGTCTGAATTTTGTGTCTTACGTTGCATCAGGTAACTTTGAAAAATGATCTGGACTGGCGTCTTACCTTCTCTTTGTCACTGGCCTCACGATCAACCAGGGAACCCTGAATAAAACACAATGTTAGACGCTTTTTTAAGTCTTGAGTGTGTTTTTCATGAAATGTATGAGCATCAGATGCTCTAACATGATTTGTTGTACATCAGTGCAATCACACCCTCTTGTGGCACAGAATCAAAAAGACTAGTTCACCCAAAAATGAAAATTAGCCCATGTTTTACTCACCCTGGAGGCCCGTTTACACCAAAAGCAAATCCAAAGACACCCTGGCCATTCACATAATTACTCATAGATATAATTATAACATCATAAACATTATGATGATTATTTTATTATGATATACACTGCAGTTAAAAACTTGTGGCTCAGTAAGGTTTTTGTTTTTAGATTTTAAAGATGCATTTAAGATTTATATTTCAAATAAATGCTTATTAACGTCACATTAATCAAAGAAATCACGATTTCTACAAACAAATTAAACAGCACTACTGTTTTCAACATTGATAATAATAATAATAATAATAATAAATGTTTCAGCACCAAATCTGCATATTAGGATAATTAAGATTATGCTTTCTGAAGGATCATGTGACACTAAAGACTGGAGTAATGGCTGGTGAAAATTCAGCTTTGGATCATAGGAATAAATTACATTCAAAAATATAATAAAATGTAAAGAAGTTTTTTTCAAATTGGAATTATATTTCACATTAATACTGTTTTACTGTATTTGCCATCACATAAATGCAGTCTTGGTGACTTGTACATTTTTTTTTTTTAAATGACATAAATATAAAGCAATATAATATAAAGCAAATATATAATACAATATATTATATAATAATATATAAAATTACATTAGTGATTTTAAACAAACAGCCATTGTTTCCATGTTGTTTGAAAATGTTAAATGTGAAGAAAAAAAACATTTTGATAGAGTTGGATCAACTCCCTGAATATAGTGAATCATAGAAATGAATCAAACTTCAATAAAAAAAAAATAATTTTAATTGTAATACAACAAAATTATTATTGAAATATCAATTTTATTGAAATGATTTACTGAGACAGTTTGAATTGATTCATGTAAATTAATCAGAGTCATTAACTCTATCCCAAAATGCCTCTAAAGTGTAAATGAAAAAAAGATGCTACTAGTATAGTCATACTTAAACACAATACTACTACTACTAATAATAATCATTTTAAAATTATTTTAATTATTATTAATCTTAAATTGTATACTGTCATAAATATATGATATTGCCTATTCTACAAGATGGAAAAAACCCTTGTCTTCATTGAATCTCATCCATAAAGCACCGTTTCCATTTCCAGCTCTGTCAGTGCAGCCCAGCACTCAGATCCTCAATAACTGGCACATCGGAGATATTATTATTCATGAACTACTCATCAATCATGTCTACCTAAATCTCTTAAACCAGGTCTAAGGGGATGTGCCGCATGATTTAGGTGCTGTTTGCTTATTGCTCGAGAAGTTAATGATGTGTGCAAAGACAAATATCAGTCACGCTATGAAAAGATCAGGCACACAGCATTACAGCCAAAACAATCCCGGAGGAAACAGCATCTCAGCGGCGAGGAACGGTTCCTACCTTCAGGTCGTATTTCCTGTGGACAACGAGTCTGTGGCTGAACATGTTCCTCATGACGATCAGGTACGTGTCCTCGCTCTCCACCGTAACCCGGTACATGCCCAAAAACTGAGGGAGGAGTGTACTGCCATGACACTTGACTATATGCTGCGAGACACAACACACAAAAGGAATCATATTATGTGTGCTTCAACCATAAAGTTTAATGTTCATTCAATGGCACATAGTTTATAACCAATGAACCAACTTTGAGTGGCATATGGCATCCAATACCAAACAAGCCCACGGGCTTAATAAATTACAGTTTTTATTCCGTCTACATCACTGCACACCTAGACTAACTTAAAAATCAGCAGTGCCGAACTAAAACTGCATGGAATATGAAAGAAAATGCATGTTAATAGCACTTTAAAAACAAATATTAGCTTATAATTGAACATTTGTCGTTAGAGATTTCTGGATTCGTATTAGTGCACCCACAGGACATGTTGTGAATATAAAGGCAATGCAAATGTAGAAGCACAGTCTCGATTAAGATCTGCTCATTCAGCTACAATGGAAACTGAGAAACCCACTCACTCACACATACTTATCTCATGGCCGTCACGACACTGTAAACAAGACACAGGCACTCAAACGCTACGCTAACCCAATTCTTACAAGAGTGCAAAAACAAGAGCGCAAAAACATTATACATCTAAAAAAAATTATAATACGTTAACAAATACATGCTTAAAAGATTGGGGTCAGCTTTTAATGTTTTTAAAGTAAGTATCTTATGCTCACCAAGGCTGTGTTAAATACAGTAATATTATTACAATTTAAATAATTGTTTTTCTATTATAAAATGTTTGAGAATGATATTTATTTCTGTGATCAAAGCTGAATTTTCAGCATCATTACTCCAGTCTTCAGTGTCACATGACCCTTCGGAAATCATTCTAATATGCTGATTTGCTGCTCAAGAAATATTTCTTCTTATTATTATCAATGTTGAAAACTTTTTTCCACAATTCAAGTAAAAAAGCAAAACATTTATTTGAAATAGAAATATTTTGTCACATTATGCTTTTAATCAATATATTGCCTCCTTACTGTATAAAAGTATTATTTAAAAAATGAATAAATAAATAAATCCACCTGACCCCAATCTTTTGAACTGTAGTGTAGCTGTAAATCTCCATTCATGGTGGCCGCCACGTTGAAATCCCATGACCTAATATTTCTCTCGGTGGTGCCTTATTTTTGGACAATTTTAGCTGTGGCCTAAATGAGCTATTCATGACAAAAACACCTTTGAATATAATAACGCAAAACCTTATCATGAAGCTGTATGCATGCCAATAGGTATATAAGACTACCACTCTATCGACCATAAACGACTTACTATACCTTTAAATAAGCACACAAAACAACAAAAGCTCATTGTCAGTCATAAAAAGAGAAATTTACCTATTTTAAGGAAGTGAGCATGTAACATGAAAATGACTTCAGAGACTAAACAAGTTTGTATGACAGTGTAGAGAGGAAATGAAAACAGTGCGTGCGGATCCCAACTGGGTAATGAAACATAAAAATAGGTGGAGTCTGAATTCTTTTGTCTGATTATTTCCCCAAAACATGCAACCTTGTGTAATATGTAAGCTAAAGTCGTATACAATTACAGTATGTTTAAGTTTAAGCAAACAAGCTTAAAATGTAGAACACAAATGCCATTTGTCATACAATGTGTCTGTATTGTTAGCAACCTTTTAAAGCTGAAGTTTAATAACTAAGAGAGCGCCTCCAAACAATTTGGTTGGCATACTAGTTTGTGGTGGTAAGGCTATGAATTTAATCTGAACAGATCACAACTTCTAGAATCATATTTGTATGTAAATACCAATGTGCATAAGAGACTTTCATGAAGGATACAGCAGTTGAACAGATATCAGCTATCTCATAGATTAAATATTCCATTGAAGGCACATTTGATATGGCTTGAATTAACCGTGAATACCCTGACCACTATGCTGTGAGATACCTGGTGATACTCGGATAGAATGTTATGCATATCAGCTACTTCTTCACTGGAGATCTGCTTTGCTATCAGCGTACGGTCATAGGACGTGAAGAGAAGACCTTCTCCCTGTCCATCGCCTCTCATGGGAGCACTGCGAGCCAGAGACACCTGATGGAAAACATCCATGCATGCAAGTGCAAAAATTCAGATCTAATTTAGCAGTAATATTATATCCAAGAACAAAAGAAATAAAATACTTTCAATCAATGGATGCAATGCACAAAATGTTTGACTATCAGGTCACCTGATAGTCAAGATCTTCAATTCCAAATCGCTCCCTGAGGTTCCTGAAGACTTGCGGGCAGTACTCCTTAAATTTAAAATGGCCTGGAAGATTCTCTCTGTAAGGTACAGAACGATCATTTCATATTAAAAACTCAATCGGAATCCTGCATTTCACATGCACCTGAAGGCAAAATGCTGCTTTGATGTGGCTGTCCTGCAGAAAAAGCTGCCAATTACACTCTTTCACCGTCATTATGAAGGTAAACATGTTCCTGCTTATAAGTTCAAGTTCACATGTAGACACAGTGAGCACAGTGCAATGCAAATCTGTGTAAAATAATGATGTGCTTTTGATAAATACTTGTTGAAGAGATGGTTGTTCACTTTAATTTTGGTGTTGGCTTTGAAGTCGTCAGGGAGCAGCATGACAGGCACTGGAACTTGATTCAAATCATTTATCTGGAAAAACAGAGTGGGGGGAAAAAAATACTTTTTTGCATCTGAAATCAACTTTGCACTTGCAGATTTCAGAACGGTGAATGACTCGATGCTTGTATACGCCCCGCTTCTAACACATGCCATTGCATGAAGATTTCCCAGTCTCCCAATTACGCAACATCTAAATGATTCATATAACCTAAGCTCTCCCTAAAAGCAATTACTCCCCCAGGATCCTCCAAAAATCTTAAAGGAATGTTTACAAGATTCCAAATGGAATTTCAGTCATAATTAAAAACACTATGATCTGCATAAATAGTCGAGCATTTTGACTAAATAGTTTTGCAAGTAACATATAAATGGAAGTGGAAGACGAATTTAAGACACTAAAAACATATATCTCCAAAAAAAAAACAAATCTCTACAACAGTTACTCTGAGCATGAGTAAATCTGACTCATTTGCCAAACGGCTCTTTTGATCAGTCTCAAAGAACCGTTTAAAGCAATAATTCAATGATTCGTTTACCTCGTGGCGTTATAACATCGGCATTCTAGAATTTAAAATGATCTAAAACGTTCAATCAAGGACATATATATATATATATACTTACATTGTTTAAATCTTTTATTTTCGCACGTATAATATGGGAGATTATTGTAGGCTAATAGCATGTGTCCTACTTCGATTTATTGCATATGCATTTCAAATCACTAAAACAAAGTCGTAGAACCTAAATATGATTTGCATGTCAATTAAACAAAACCGGCAAGAATCGGTTGAACGGCTTCAGACCGATTCAGTCCGATTCGTCACAAATCGTTGAGACTAGTGTTGTGAACCGATTCTATTTCAAAGAATCGACTCAAAAGAAAGATTCGTTCGCAAATCGGTAGCAACAGTTGCAAATCCGCCGCGTGCAATCAAACTATGTGTTTTGCGTGTGACCTCATGAGCCAAAACCCATATCAACAACAGTACACGCACATTTTATTAATATTACTATGCATAATGCATTTAGTTAAGTCCTCAAACAACCGATGTACGTGCTTGCAGCTAACTGTTAGCTCATAAAATGGCAGTTGTGTGATGTAGGAAGTTAAGTGAATCATATACCGCCTTACCGAATGATTAACGCCCCACATGAACACACTGAGCATCGGGTCGCTCGCCCGGAACACTTTGACCTTCTGCTGCACGAAATGTTTCTTTTTGGTCTTGGTTTTGGGGGCGAGCATGACCATCGGGCTGGAGGCGCTGCCGGTGTTACCGAGGGACGCCATCATCACGGTCACTCCCCTGTAACACAGCGGTCTCTTCTCCTCTCGGATCCGCCTCCCTCTGTTCCTGCTCCGGTTCCTCTAGCTAACAATCAACGGTCGAATACAACACAAGCTCTAAGTCGCGGCGGCTCGGTTTTCCGCTGTGTTTGCAGGCCCAGCTGGACCGATTCTTCATGGAAGTGAACAACAACACTAAGTTGCTGTAGTGTGTGGCAGTGATCCAGATGCTCCTCCCACAAGTTCAGATATATTGTGACAGCAAGTACGTGTGTCAGACTCTCACCTGAGTGTAACCTATGTCACGTGGTTTGTGAACGTACAGGTGAGATGAGACAGTAAAGACATCAATACTAACCTGACCATAACTATAATATTTCGTCTGACAAGTTCCCGCGGTTGACATGACTGGCATGTCCGAACGAACCGTTGTTTTGAGGTGGATCTTTTCAATGATTCGGTTGAACCGGTTCAAAAAATACGGTTCGTTCACGAATCGGACAGAATCGGTCCTAGCGCCAGCATGAGCCGCAAGTTACCTTGACTGATGGGGCGAAAAACATATCGTTTTGTCAACATTAATAGGCTGCGGAACACGTTGTATTTAGGCTAATTAAAATATGCGAAAAAAGTTCAGCTAGAACATTCATTTAGAGATTAGGGGTGCGTTTCCCTAAAGCATCGTTAGCTAACTGTAGTGGTAAGTTGAATTGAACTCTATTGGTAACGACGGAACTTTTGGGGAACGCACGTTGTCAGAGACTTGGGAGTGGGCTTTTGACTTTTGGGCCTGTAAAAACTAACGCGTGAAATGAGAGGAATCACGCAGCAACACCCTGGCAACCACCCAAGCCATCCTAGCATTGTCAATGTTTACACAGGTAAGCACAACTCACATTTTCCTAAAATCTGTAGAAATTAGCATATTTAGTCTATTTGCCATTGTCTTAGCAGTGGTGTCTGGGAAGTCGTTTTGAAAATTCATTATTTTAGCAATTGGGTTGATGTCTCCGAGGCACAGAAATTATTAGGAACTTTTGTGTTTTTGGAGTGACTATATATCAAATGCAGTGTTGAGAAGTAACTTAATTATGTAATTTAATTGCAAAATAAATGTAATAAAATGAATGTAAATAAACTAATCACTTACATGTATTAATTTACAGTAAATTACAGTTACAATTACTGAGAAAATTAAATTTACAGTTAGCCTACTTATGAAAATGTTAAAGTGCCCCATTATGGATTTTTGAAAATTACCTTTCATGCAGTGTGTCACACAGCTCTAAGAGAATGAAAACATCCTGCAAAGTTTTAAATCTGAAAGTGCACCGTGTATAAAGTTATTGTCTCTCAAAAGAAAGAGTCGACTCTGAATCATTGAAACGAGTCGTTTTACATTTACATTTAGTCATGTAGCAGACGCTTTTATTCAAAGCGCCTTACAAATGAGAACAATAAAAGCAGTCAAAACTAACAGAAGAGCAACAATATATAAATGACAAGTCTCGGTTAGCCTAACACAGTACACGTAGCAAGGTGAGTGTGTATATATATACACAGTGGTGTGAAAAAGTGTTGGCCCTCTTCCTGATTTTTTTGCATGTTTGTCACACTTTAATGTTTCAGATCATTTGAATGAAAATGCAAATTCATTCTTTGCCACTAGGTGCCACTTGTAATATCACCATATCACCCTGCAGCCCAAGACTGGTTGCCCACTGAAGCTAAGCAGGGTTGAGCCTGGTCAGTACCTGGATGGGAGACCTCCTGGGAAAACTAGGTTGCTGCTGGAAGAGGTGTTAGTGAGGCCAGCAGGGGGTGCTCACCCTGTGGTCTGTGTGGGTCCTAACGCCCCAGTATAGTGACGGGGACACTATACTGTCAACAAGCACCGTCCTTCGGATGAGACGTTAAACCGAGGTCCTGACTCTCTGTGGTCATTAAAAATCCCATGCCACTTCTCGTAAAGAGTAGGGGTGTAACCCCGGTGTCCTGGCAAAATTGCCCCCTGGCCTTTGTCAATCATGGCCTTCTAATAATCCCCAACCCCTTGATTGGCTCTATGACTCTCTCTCCTCTCCACCTGTAGCTGGTGTGTGGTGAGCGCACTGGCGCCGCTGTCCTGTGGCTGCCGTCGCATCATCCAAGTGGATGCTGCACACTGGTGGTGGTTGAGGAGAGACCCCCCCACATGATTGTAAAGCGCTTTGGGTGTACAACAATACACGATAAAGCGCTATATAAATTCATCATTCATTCATTCATTGTAAAAAATAGCGGTTTCCCCGGTAACGCTGTACACAAAGCAGCACTGCGCTCACAAACGCCGCTTTATCAGGCATTACAGGCGAAAGGAAAATGAGACCAATCGGACCAATCACCGCAGATTAGCGTCACGCAAAGGAGGGGTTTGGAAAAATGAATCGTTGAGTGAATCATTTGGTAGTCGTTGAGCAAGTAAGGTAAAAAAATGCATATTATAAGACAATGAAAGTGTTTTTTGACCTTGCATGCATGCCACCCTTTTGTTGGGGACTACCAAAACCAAAATATGAACTTTTCATAGCTCATAATAGGGGCACTTTAACAATTACAAATTGGGTTACATCTGATTTTTTTTCCCATAAACACCCACATACATATTTAATTGATGTCTTTCATAAATTGCAGTGACTGCTCTAAAATGTGTGACACCAATGTTTCAGGAGTTTAGGACACATGCTTATTCTATAACGGTTTCCTATTTGGATTTATGCATATGCTTTATTTTTTAAAGATTAATTGTTTTTTTCCCCTCAAGCCATTGTTAGATGCCAGTGTTTCCTGTCATAGCTATGCAAATATCTGATTTCAAAAACAATATCATAGCTACTAAACGTTTTCTTGTTATGGCTTTAAATCTGTATTTAATCTCAGAATGATCTCAAAGCAAGTCTGATTTTGTGGTGGCCGTGCTGTAAAATTAAATGAATATAATCTTAATTAAAGTGATGAGGGATTTCGAAAGTGACAGTAATCAGTGTTGAACTAATGTGAGGTTAACCCTGCCTGGTTTACATGTTTGGAAATGATCAACAGTTGAAAACATTACAAATTTAGAAAAGTAAACAAATGTAATCAGTTACATTACTTTAATAAAGTAATTGAAATAGTTACACTACTACTGTATTTACATTTTAGATACAGTCATTTGTAATCTGTAACCTGTTACATTTCCAAAGTAACCTTCCCAACACTGATCAAATATCATATCAAATGTGGGTAAAATACCTTTTATATATTTAGTTACATCTTCCTCTGTAGATTCTATATTTTGGCTCTCTTGATTCGACACCGCTAATAATATATGCATACAAAAATGTAGCTTACATTACAGAGAGAATAAATTCTCCAAGTCACAGTGATTCAAAGTAGGGCATGACGAAAGCACAGACAGACATATGCTATATTCTGCTATATGTTGTTACCTTGGAAACAAGCATATGGATTGTTGTGTGAGTATACGTGTGCATGAATCTGTCTTGGCACAAAAGCTCCAGCACTCTAAATATTTAATATGTCCTTTATATTCATGAGAATTAGACTGTATAAATAGCATTATATGTGACTACTTGGCTGATATAACAAGATATCATACCCTGATAAAGCATAAAGTTATTCTTAGTAAGCTAAATCTGCTCTGGGCTTGCAAAAATGCACAGTCACCATAGCTCAGTATGCACAAGGTAATATTTGTATGTGACATTTGTATGAGCATATGGCTGTATTTTTGCAGCCAACTGCAGCATCTGCTCTTTCTTGTTGCGTTTTGCTAATTCATTGCTTCTGTGTTTTTTTTCTATTTCAGTTGTGCATTTGCATGGTTTGATAGTATTCATAATTTATCATATTCAATTTCATGCATTTGGGTTTCCAAATGAGATCCTGCAAAGAGTCAGTCTTTATATTAACATATGCATTTATTTTTTTCTGTATCCGTTTATTTATTTATTTTGTATCATAGTTTTTGCACACGTTATATATATATATATATATATATATATATATTTTTTTTTTTTTTTTTTTTTTTTTGCAATGGGCTCCTTTTCAAGGGCCCACAACTACTGGCACATATATTGATACAACAAAATCAGTGTGAGGTGCATTGATCAGACATTATTTTGTGCACTTTTTCTCAATGCATTTTGGGAATGAGAAAACACAGAGTTCTGAACAAAATACCCAGAATACAATCTGAAATATTGAAAATTAAGCGATATAGTAACACTTTCCAATACTGAAGGATCAACATATCAACATAAATAATGACATAAAATAATACAAATTATATAAAAAAAACACATGTACAGCAGTAAATGCTCTTAAGGGTGTGTTTAAGTTGTATTTTTGTTTTTAATCCCTTTTTATGGTGACACCATCGCATGGCACTCACTCTCTTAGCAAATAAAATAAGCTCTGTTTTGACAATGAAAAAACTGCTGACAATATAAAAATACATGGCATTGTAGTTCATTAAATAAATCAACAATTTATATATATTTTATATATATATATATATATATATATATATATATAT